CGAACCCGAAAACAAGAGGCGACGCGTGCAAGAAAAAATTAGCAAAAAATAATTTGTGGTAGATGGTTTTCATGTAGTTTATATTGTATCAAATAAAGTATTTTTTTCCTTGCCGTCACTTCGTGAAATTTTTTTTCTTGGCAAAAGTGATTGTCATTAACGTACACATGATCTTTATACTTCTGAGAATGGCACATACAGTATCCTTCTTTGGATGTGAGGCCGAGAGGAATATCATGAAAAAATGAAAGATAAAGGTAGGAAGCATTTATTTATTTTATATTTCTGCTCATTTTTTGCGATAGATCTAAAATATTATTATCTCGGGATATAGATATAGGAAATGAAATATTAGTGTCGAAATTTGTTATCCTATTAAGCTTTGGTGCATGAATTTCCTGTTGTAAAATACTTTACTGAACATTATACTATCAGTATATGAAATATTGCCTGAAAGAGGTTTATACAACCAAATTCGAATCCATATCTACATTATGATATAACAGGATAAATGCAATATTTTAATACAAGAAAATAGAAACATAAACTCATGCAGAATCCTGTATTCCCCTATCACGATCCCTACCGCGACCTCTCCCCCACCATTCACTTAATTTCCTTCTCTCGATATTTTTGGCAGAAATTCTGCAAATGTGACAGCTCTTCGCCGTTCTGGTGTGAATTCGGTTGCATACTTGAATTTGGACTTCGCTATATTTTCTTGTCCCTCCTTTCTAAACTCTATAATCCTTTCGATCTTTTCAACAAGATTGTATCGTAATCATAAAGGTGTTCTAATGAGTCTAGGTACATGATTTAGATTGATATCAGAAATTGGAATAGTAAGAACTAGGGTTGTAAATGGAGCAAAAAGGTATAAACCAGGAATAGTGAATATTAACTGGTCAATCTCAATTTTATCGGCTATAAACAAAAACAAGAATACAAATTATTGAAAAAAAATTACCAAATGTTTGGACTAAGAAAATCCTCAAGAGTTTCGTGCACTCAACATAAATTTATTTGTACGATCGTTCACGTGATTTTTGCAACGCGATCTCATTAAATATCACGTGGCGTCAGTGATTATGAATTGACCTCAAAATTTACCATTACCACGTGCATAGATATCTTTCGCGCTTAACACTGGCCTATCTATCTCTCACAAGTGTAGCATAAATGCTTGTAAATGAGGTTGATGACGGAATTACCTGCCGAGTCTGTGAACGATTTTGCTCGAGTTACCGTCTGCCCCATGGAAGTTGTTAAATCAGGAACGGAAACGACCTGTTCTCAACATAGACCTAACCCTCACAAGCGTAGCGGAAATGACCTACTTTTAAATGAGGTTGATGGCGGAATTACCTGCCGAGTCTATGCATGATTTGCTCTTCTTTCTGGGGCCGAACACAAAACTAATAATAAAATAAGCCATGCTCGAATCTGTATGACTAGTGTGACTTAGGTAATATTTTTTTATTCAAAGATATTGGGACAAAAAACACATTTATATTTAAAAACCAGAAGAGAACCTTTATTTTCAATGATATAGTGTTTATTTCAAGTGAGAAACATCCCGAACCCTAGATAATTCCTTCCCGCTATATCCAATTCTGAGAACGTCATACCGCAATATGAAGTACGAATATTCCCGACGATGCATCATGCAATTTTAGAATATACGACTATTTTTTTTTGTTGTGCTGACTGATTGTGCATTTGCAGTTCTGGGCTTACAAGCTAATAGATAATTTTTTATTTAGGATCTCAAGGAACATGTTAACTAATTAACATTACTGAAGGCAAAAAAACATAAATTACCGGCGGGTTTACCAAGGTCAATATTGTTAATTTATTTCTGACTCTGCATGTTTTATGCATAACTGGCAATCTTTTATTCTATCCAAAATACTGATGTTGGGAACGAATGAAATCGGATTAGAATTAATGTTGTGTTAGCATATAGATAGCTTAGAGCCTTAGATGAGCGAACACCCGCGGGCATTAGCATAGAAACTTTATCTCACTTTATTAAAACAAGTTTATATATTACCGAAATCTTGTAATTTATTCTTTATATCAATAAATCAATAATTCCGATGAGGATATCACCTCGTTTTTCATCTATGCTAACGAACTTTTGAATTATCCCATCGCATATAAAAAAAATCGTCTAACATGCAATCCAACGATTCACTAAGAGAATTAAATGCCAAGCTCTTGACCGTGATTGCAAAACTTAGGAATGAGAATACCGAAATTCCTGAACTTAGAGAGAAGCTACTAAGATTTACTAAGGTTGAGGCTGAGAATGTGAGGTTGAAGCAAATTATTGAGGAAAATGTAAAGCGTGATGTTAGAGTCGAGGAATTAGAGCAAAAGAATAAAGAGCTTGAGGCCAGACTCGCTATATTAGAACAGGGAGAGAAAGGTATTTTTACAAAAGATGTTTCGCAATCTCCAGTAAATTCTAACGATACTCCGCATCTAATATATCTGATAATACTTCAAATTCTAGTATTACTCCTGAACGAATAGAAAATGGCTCTGATATAACATTTGATGATGCTTCGCATCGAACCCCTGGTTCTTCTGGTACATACCAGAAAAAGAATAGCCAATTCTCCACGTCTTCTATTACTATAAAAACTATATCATCGGGAGAGAAGAAAATCAATGATTTCCTGGATAACGTACATAGAAAAAACAATTAGTGAGAAAATAAAGAGAAAAGAAGCGGGAAAAGAATCTTAGATCTCAAGACAAAGTACGGAAAATCATGTCAGAAAATTTCTGAAAACTCAAGTTCTATTAATAATGTGGGGATGTGACAACTAATAATGCCCAGGATGAAGCGGAATCTCTGCCCAGCAATACTAACTTTACGCTTTTATATGAAAAACTTTACTTTGTGATACTATAATTCTTGCTGAACGTAAAACCCAAGAAGCTATCGCGTGTTATTGCCTATTTGGAAAGGCTCTTCTTATTCAAAGACGTGATGAAATAGCATCGGAAAGACAAGTTAATCCAGAATCCAATACTTTTGGTAGAATTTTAAATAAAGAAGTAAAACTCCAGTTACCCGCAGACACTTCTGACAGCCTTTTACGTAAGAGAATCGAAAAAGCAAAGAAGTTTTATAAACTTTTTGATGCAATAGGTATGGATAAAATTTATTGCAGTCATTCCTTTTCTGCTGGACAGTATATCTTAATTAACAAAAAAGGAATTTCAGTATATTATAGATAATGTGTCCTTTGATTATAGCATTGATGTGAACCTGCCTCTGGCTGAGCTACGGGATGATGAGAAAGGTTCTATATTTACACATGTAACCCAACTTTGTGAACCAAGTTCACGAAGTGATCGACAAAATTCTTGTGAGAAGAAAAATAAAAATTCAGTAACTTCTGTTTCCTTTATCTCATTGTCTAATACGTCTAATTCGGAAGATATAATAAATGAGGATAACAATTCTTTACCAGTGGAAACTGTAAATGAGGATAATAATATAAGCGAGAAAGCCAAATCCTTTGCTGGAGCAATTTCAAAGGATAAACCAGAAACTGTAAATGAGGATAATAATATAAGTGAGAAAGCCAGATCTTTACTGGAGGAAGAGGTAAGTGAACCCGATGATTCTTTGGATTCTAATTCGGAACCCTCTGATGATGATGGTTTTTATGGTTTTTCCAATGATGATGAGGTTATTATTACAATTTAAATACACATAGAAAATCAGATCATTCAATCTGCGCATATTAATAAAGCAAGTGTTGGGCGTCATCGTGAGGGTTTATTAAATGATCGAATTAATGTTGATAATTCCCCAGCCAGTAAGAGATCGAGGGTCAAAAAATTTACAAAGTAATGGATTGATAAATTTCTCGCTCACATGTATTTTTTATTGAGCTAGCCTATGACTAATAAAGAAATAGCGATTTCCATATTTATGGATCGCGTATAACATATTTCGTTCTAATTTCTGGATATACAATTTCGCTTATTAATGAAATTTCGTATTATATTCTAAGTTTGTTTAGCTCTTGTACGTAGAAAATATACTGTATAGGTAAGAAGAGAATACCTGTATATACCGAAAAATGGCAACTGAGGAAGCACCCAAAGATTCGTCCACCTCCAAGAGCAGTGCTGATGCTGAAGTTTTCCAACTTGAAGCACTTTCCTTAAATTACCTACTAAGACAAAATATTTCGGATGATAGCCATATACCAAAACTTCACCCGTGCAAAAATATATAGTATCGACAGCATTATACCGACTATGACTCACGTCAATCATATTGTGAATCACCTGCTTTTCTCCCTAAGAAAATTATTTCACAAAAATTTCGTTGTGAGATATACTGTATACCGTGCATGCATAATCTTACGAATACGCCAAAAATATAACTTTATTGTTTTTTAGATAAAAATTGAGCTAAACTAATTCAATGTTTCACAATATATGCCAAGAATTTCGGGTAAAAGAAAGTTATGCATAAGTTTCAGCAAAAATATGATGACAAAAAAACATAATACACAGCGTAAATTGTAGTACTCATCAGTCTCTGGATATATTATTATTACGCCAATTGATACCGCAACTATCAATATCCAAAAAAACAAAATAGTCGCAACCACTAAAATTATACGTGGAATTGCTAATAAATAGGAAATGCAATATCCGTGACTTTTACCACTAGCATTAAGTATAACTGTGTAAAAAAGTACAACAAGTAAATAAAATAGGGCGAGCTCTCCAAAAAGGTATATAGACACGAAAACAGCAGATGATGAAATCATCCGATCCATAAAAACAAGAATTGGATTTCGGGATTCTAAGAGAAAAAAGTTTAATATGAAATATTATAGTATATGATATCTTTTTCTTAAAGATTAAATCTTTCTCACCTATCGCAACATGTTTAGCGATTTGTTCATCATAATCATCAAGGAAATGAATTTTATAATCTTCATTGGTAAAAGTAGCTCCAATTACTTTAGCTTTAATGCCAAATCTTCCAGTAGCCAATTCTCTATATCTATTAGCTTGCTCTTTAACCTTACGTCTAGAATTATGCCGAGAAACTTGAGCAGTTCTTCCACTTCCTGAATGAAGAGATTTTGTTTCAACTATCAAATAAACCCCGTAATCGGATCCAAAAATCAAATCTCCTTTCCCTTTATCCGAATAACCCCTTTCAGCTTCCCAATCAAAATCTATAAGATATTTAAATCCTGGACAAATTATGTCGATTTGTTCAATTAAGACATTTTTCACTATGTCTTCTGGATGTTTCGGATTCGAATGTTCATAAAAATTTTTCCATTCTTTTCTTTTATCAATCCCTTGTAAATAATTATTCATATCGAAATTTTGTTTCGTTGTGAATTTTATGAAAAAAAAATCTTTGTTCTCCCTTATATAGATTTTCAGTGATCAAAATGGTCCGATCGGCAGTGATCATGAGTGGTGGTATGAGGTGAGAAATATATATGATGCATTTTTTTGACTTAATGGCCAGCGAAACTGCTTTGAAAGGGTTGGCTAAAAGAGGGAATATTTCAAAAAAAAAATAATGTATAGTATATAGTCTTGTTTCATGCTATAGCATTGGGCGATCAAAATTTCACATGGTTAGGATATACTGTAGGATATATGCAATTGAATAATTCAACATTTATCATGTACCATTGCATTCACGTACTCCCATTGACATCTCCTGGCATGAACTTGAAGTCCTCGACATACCTTCCAGATATTAGAATGTTTAATCTTAGTTATACGTTCTGCTTCAGCTAAGGATGAAAATTCTCGGAAAGATCCATCATCAAAAATCTGCTTGACAATACGTTGGTGCCCAAGCCCGAGACATTTTGTATGTTGTAAATTTTCTTTTTGCGAATATCATTCAAGATTAAATGCTTTATCTCTTTACCTTTTTCTTTGAAGCAAAATACCAATGCCACTAGGAAATAAACTCAATATTTGTGAAGTTTTCCACCAACTAGAAGATATCTAGCATTTAATGTTCCTTGGGCAATTACACCACTGAACTTTATCTAAAGATGAAACACTAAAATATTATATTCTAGCGTAGATCGCGTGGTTTGATCAGCGTGAACCGATGTTCACTCCGTGACTTTTGGCGCAGTCGTTATTGTATTGTTATATGTGAAAATTACAATTAATAAAATATCAAGTATCATTTATTTTTATATCAGCCCATTTTTATATAAAAAAAAATTCCTTACTTTTTATTATTTGTCATCCATGCAATTTCAATATATGTGCTTCTTCTCAATTATATATAGAAGTGATGAATAGGATGTATTTGTATTAATGTGTTAATAAATAATAAGAAAAAATAAATGCATGTTATTCAATGGACAAGTGTAAAGGCTTGAGCTATGCTCCAAGTTTAGTTATTTGTGTTTTATTTTTTTTATAAAAAATAATAGGTTTTTTTAAAAAACAGTTTTTTATTAATTGCAATCACTATTTAATTACTGATTATTAATTATAATATCTAATTATTACTTATTAATTCTGATCTTTAATTGTTCACTAATTATTGATCCCGATCTCTAATTGATCATTAAGTATCGACTCTGATCTCTAATTAATCACTAATCATTGATTTTGATCTCTAATTGATCACTAATCATCAATTCCGATTTCTAATTGTTTACTAATCATTGATTTTGATCTCAAATTGATTACTAATCCTCGATCCCAATCTCAAATTGATCTCTAATTCTCAATTCCAATCTTGAATTGATCACCAATCCATGATCCCGATCTCGCATTGTTTACTAATCCATGATCCCGATCTCGAATTGATTACTAATCCTCGATCCCGATCTTGAATTGTTCACTAATTCTCGATTCCGATCTCAAATTGATCACTAATCCTCGATCTCGATCTTGAATTGATCACTAATCCTTGATCCCGATCTCGAATTGATCACTAATCTCGACCCCGATCTCGAATTAATCACTAATCCTCGATCGCGATCTCAAATTGATCACTAATCCTAGATCCCAATCTCAAATTGATCACTAATTATCAATCCTGATATCAAATTGATTACTAATCACCGATCTAAATCACTAATTAATCACTAATTACGATCTAGATCACTAATTAATCACTAATCACGATCTAGATTACTAATTAATCACTAATTACCTATCTAGATCACTAATTAATCACTAAACACTAATCTAGATCACTTATTAATCACTAATTACTGACATAGATCACTTATTAATCACTAATCACTGATCTAAATTACTTATTAATCACTAATCACCAATCTAGATCACTTATTAATCATTAATCACCGATCTAGATCACTAATTAATTACTAATCACTAATCTAGATCACTAATTAATCACTAATTACTGATCTAGATCACTAATTAATCACTAATTACGGATTTAGATCACTAATTAATCACCAATTACAGATCTAGATCACTAATTAATCACTAATTACGGATCTAGATCACTAATTAACTACCAATTACGGATCTAGATTACCAATTAATCACTAATTACAGATCTAGATCACCAATTAATCACTAATTATTAATTAGATCATTAATTAATCACTAGATCATCTGTTTAATCAATAATTAATCACTAATTACTGATCTAGATCACTAATTAATTCCCAATTACTGATCTAGATCACTAATTAATTCCCAATTACTGATCTAGATCACTAATTAATCCCTAATTACCGATCTAGATCACTAATTAATCCCTAATTACCGATCTAGATCACTAATTAATCACTAATTACTGATCTAGATCACTAATTAATCCCTAATTACCGATCTAGATCACTAATTAATCCCTAATTACTGATCTAGATCACTAATTAATCACTAATTACGATCTAGATCACTAATTAATCCCTAATTACGATCTAGATCCCTAATTAATCACTAATCACGATCTAGATTACTAATTAATCACTAATTACCTATCTAGATCACTAATTAATCACTAAA